AAAGAAAGAAAGAAAGAAAGAAAGAAAGAAAGAAAGAAAGAAAGAAAGAAAGAAAGAAAGAAAGATGGATTTGTGTCTTATTGATGTGGCTGGCCTTGGTAGGAGAGGGGAAGGTTTAAGATATTTCTGTGTGGACAGAAAGCTGCTCCAGACCTTGGTGATCTCATGGAGTTGACTGATAACTGGAATCCAAAGCAATCCAAATATTACAAAAAGTGATTCAAGAATTGATCTTTTCTTTTTGCATTAGTAAAACTGGGCAGAACTTCCTACTGGAGGAAATGCTTGCATCATCTCTCCTCCACCAGCATCAGCCACCAGCTGATCCTTTTAGCAGAATGCTGACTTGATTTAGCAGGTCTGAAATTGACAAGAGTTTTAAATCTGCCTTCTCTTTGGCAGGGAACAAGCCGCTTGCAAAACACTAAGCTGCTGCTGGGATTTTTTTCCCCCCCTCTTTTGTATGAAATGGGGGAGGTGGAATTTTGGTGATTTCCCCAGAAAGGAAAGGGAGGCAGCAGCAAACTAGAAGTAGTTGCTATAATTCCTGTAGTCTAAAAAGTATGCATTTTTGTTTTGAACTTATCACCTCCTCTCACTCACTTCAGCTGCCACCTTCACTATATTAAGACAAGTGCCTGGTTGCAGAATTGATGACCTGCTATCGTGCCAACTTCATTGCTCACCATAGCATTTTTAATATAGGATGAATGATGGCTTAGTAGCCAAGCAGTTCATCCTGTTACAACTGTTCCTATTTTCTCCAAACAACCAACACATATAGCGTGTGCTGAAAATGCATGTGCGTGGGGGTGGGAGGGGAGATACTAGCAATTTCTTTCATTTATTGTTGTGTGATAGGAAGGAGATAGGATTTTTTCTGTTGCTCCAGTTGCTTGGGTAAAGCACCAATTGAAGATTTCTTTTGCAGATTTCTATTGGTCAACTGAAAAAACAGCACTAATGGGCTTACGGTGTTTTTGGTATTTCAAGATTGGCCAGGGAAAAGAGGACAGGCAAGTCTGCTTTAGACTTGTTTGGAGAGACTGGGGTGTAGAAACAATGACACGTGGAAGTAACCTTGGTCTTTGCTTTAAATAGAAGAACATTCTGGACTTGCAGAATTGCTGACACATTAAATCCCTGCTATTATTTAATTAGGACGTCTATAATCAAAATATTAATTCCAGGGAACTGGTAAACCAAAATCAATGAGTACCAGCTTTACAGTGACAAAATAACTGTGTGTCCATTTAACACATACATACATTTGATACCCAGAGCTGGTACCTTTGAATCCTGGTGGCTTGTCAATGGCAAAATCTCCATCCCAAATGACATCAAAGTCCAGAGGGAGTTCCCCTAGTTCCTCACCATCATACCAATACTGAGGAGGAAAGAGACGGATCGCAAATTATGAAAATGTAAAGCTAGAATGCTGCTCTGTAATCATAGCGAACCCAGTGAAGAGATGCCTGTTGGAAAACAGCAACAAAAGAATATACAACGTACCTCCTCAGAGCAGAACAAACATTTAACTGCCCCTTCACCAAACAGCCCTGAGTCAGCCCAGTTTTGATCTGTCCTGTGTCTTAGACGAGAAGGAGCTACAGTATTTGGTAACTGATTAAATTGGGGAATAAGTGAACTGCTTCATCATTATGAATTTCTTTGTCACTATTAAATTTCTTTATTTCTGGTACTTCCTGCATTCTTAGCTTGTCAGGTGGCCTCCATGGAGACACGCCCACAGTTGCTAAGAGAAATAGAAGGGTTTCTATGTCACATTTATTATACACACAGATATTGCACACACGGCTAGGTGACATTAGGTACGCAACACGTTGTTCTGGTGGTCCTTTTCAGTGCTATTAACAGATGGGATAAAAGTGGAAGAAAAGCCAAAGCAATCTTTTACCCTCGTGAGTCCTAATGGACATGTATTGGAAGCAGTGGCTTGGATAGAAGAATACTCTGAAGTTTGTAGCCTAATTAAAAGCTTGGCTGAAATAACACGAAAGGATAAAAAATGGAGGAATGTATGGCTTCCCCTGATCAAATACATTTTTTAAGACAGGGTAGAACACCACATTCAGTAATGGAGGGCTGAAAACTTTTGGAATCGAGTTCCTATGTCTAGAACAGGGTTTCTCAACCTTGGCAGCTCGAAGCG